AAATATTGTGAACCCCCCCCCCCCCCCCAATGTAAGATTTTCCACAATTATGTTTGAAAGATAAATTTCCTTTGAGAGTAGTTACATTTTGCATATTCACCTTAACACGTCAGTGACTTCTGCTGCATGCAGAATGACCCCACAAATACGATCAATCGTCAGTACAATGCCCTGATGTACCAGAACATTAGAAACACCTCAAAATGTCTCCATCTGCAAATCAGTAGACCCCATTTGTAAACCTTTTTCAGGGATAAAGCAAAAGCTTGGATCCCCTGCTAAAGGGAAAAAAAGTAGTTGTAACCCTGTCACCACTCCAACCTAACAAACAATAACAAAGGCTACCTATTGAAAAAAAGTACCTGTCAGACTTGTATATGACCTTTGTAACCCATTTCCACCCAAAATCTGTATATTAAACAGCCCTTGCCATGATATCACATGCCGATGGTACACAAATAAACACCCCCCTTTGAAAGCCAGCAGCCAACACTTCAAATGGCTTCTGGCTCTTAATCCTGACAGCTGGGGTCCATATTAACACATAAGAACCAGTCAAACTAGATCCTAATCATATGATTATAGGATGTAGTGATCATAAGCAGCTTGCAGGGCTCACTAACAAAAATTAAAGCACTCAGTCTGCAGATGAACCCTGCCATCTTCTGGCTGCAGTGTTCATCGGCAGTGCCATCCATTTAATAGTGTAGCAGAGACGTTTTTACTTATGAAAACAGTGTACCAAATAAAAACCTTATATGTCCTTAAAAAATATTTATAAAATGATTCACGTGTGCATATTTGTTGTTGTTTGGTTAACCTTGCATGCTGACACTGCCAAGTTTGACCTGGACATCTAGGCATCATCTAGGAAACACTCAATGTTTCCAAATGCATGTGCATATTCTGCATGGCAATTTGCTTTCTGTTGGGATAGATGAGGAAGACATGCAAAGATAGTTTAAAGATATGTGAAAATCACAGTAACTGCTCCTGAAAATGGTATACAGGGGGGCAGCTCCTCACAGTCAATGGAAACCAACCAAATAGGATGAGAGGCTCCATGTGACCATTCTTGGATAGATCATGATTGGTCATTCTCTAATCGCCTTTTGTTTAAGAGTCAGGCAAAGATAGTGATGTTTCAGGTTCTGATGAAAGAGGTTTTGCCCTCCGAAACATGTTGACTGAATGAGGGTCAGCGTGCAGATGGCTTCGGCTTAGTACTAGCACTTCCTTTCCCTCACCCTATTTTCGTGTATTCATCTTCATGGTCTCCTGAGATTATATCGCTTTCTGCTCGTTTATACAAGCTGGTTTGTAAGTACCTTTTCAGCTGTGTGTTTTATCCATAATAAATTCATTTTACACTATGGAGGCGCTCCTTTTGCTTTGTCCTCATGCAAAGAAAGTTTATCTAAAAGGTATACTGCTGTATTGCAAATTGTATCCTGGCAGTCAGAGAGCTCTCGCACCAAAAGCTGTTCTGTTTGGCTGCTGGCCCCCGGGACAGAGGTGATTAGAAACCGCCCGATCCAAGTGCCAGGACAGCAAGCAAACTCGGCAACCCCAGGAGAAAGTTAGACAGTAGATCTATGGCCTTTTGTAGGAGCTTTATTTCTCCTCTTGAACAGCCTAGTAGCCGTCTAGCCCTGAGAAGCACACAGTATAGAAGTGGGATCTTCCAGCTGTAAAAAACAGCTGTCATGTCAGAGCTTGAAGTCAATATTCATAGAGTTGTACATTGTTTATGGAAACACATACCACATCCTTGCTAAAAGTAGGTTATACAGCTTATCTTCAGTAATGTTCCTAGGTACAGTCATAAGAAAGGGCTGACCAAATAATGTAGAACCATGATGATGACTGTAACTGGCATGGCGAAATTTCTCTCGTAAATATATGGGAATTATGACTTGTTCTGTATCTTCTGTCCTGTTTATAGATGTTTCAAATCTAAACAACAAAATACTGATTAAAATCAAGAACAATAAATACAAAGTTTTCATATTCATATTTCAATATCATGTATATGCAAAGAGAAATGTAAATAAACCCAGAGCAACCAATCAGAATTTTCATAGCTCTGTCTTCTGTGCATTGATGACAGCTTAAATGTGGTTGCTGTAAGTAATGTCATAATATTGGTCTGCCCTAAGGTATTACAGTAAGAATCTGAAGATTCTAGCTAGGCTAACCGGAAAACCAGTAAACAATATTAACCCCTTCGTGACTGACGACGTACAGTGTACGTCGCCAGCATCGGGGCTGTTTAAACAGACTCCCGGCGACTTTTGCCGCTGGGACTCTGTTTAAACTTGTAGAGCCGACTAATGTTGTTCTATGGAGGATGCAATGCATTAAACTAATATAAGGCACATCTGATACAACTGACCTTACTCTCTGTATTCAGGCTGTTTAAAGTGCATTTCCACCTTCGCAGCCAAATTGGGATAACACAAATTTTATAATTGTTACATGTTCCCATTTACATAGTATAAGTTAAACAAATATGTATAAAAATGCTTCTTACAGTATAAATTGCTTTTAAAGTGGGGCTGTGAGGGAAAAGTTTCTCCTCCGTTGTATGTAAATGAAGTTAAGAGAAACCCAATCCTCAAATTTCAGTACCAAGTCATTCTCTAAGGACAGAACACTGTGAAGGTGCTGAGAAAAACCAAGAATCAGCCATGTTGCCTGCTGCAACAAAAAAGGAAAGACATTTTTAAAAAAATAATATTTTTTTGTTATGCTGTGTGAATATGTACACACAAACATATAGAGGCGTTTTCTCAAATTTGACTGCAAAAGTGGATATGTGCATTAAGTGATTAGTTGGAGCACCACAGAACACTACTGTTTAACCTTAAAGTCCATTTCCACCTTTGTAAGTGATTAGAATATATTGGGGTAATGTACAGCTGCAGTGATGATGTATACATGTGCACAATTTCATAACTTACATTGCAGGCTTTAATTTTTTATGAATTTTTTATTAGGCTTGAATCCTGCAAATCCATTATTTGAAAAAAAACTTAATTTTCAAAAAAGAGTCTATTTAACTTTTAATCCTAAACCAAAATGCTCTTTGTAAAGGCCTGTGATATTTCCTGACTAAATTAAAATAAACCTGGGAGAAAAAGGCTCCTTTGTGTGCATCTTTCAATAAATACACTAAAAATGTTTCCCAGTATTACTATTAAAATGGTTATATTAAAAAATGATGTCTCATCCCCCCCCCCCCCCCAAAAATGAATAGAAACACTGCTGGTTGCAGCAGAAGTCCAAGCAGTGTTCTCACTGCATCTGAAATCTGTGTGAGGGCATACTAGACAGTAGGGGGCTGGAGGAACTCATGCAGGGTTTTTATTATTAGAAAAGCATACCTGCACTTTAAAATAACCACACTCTGTCAATTCAGATTGTATTTTTAGCCAGGGACTGGACAATCTCTAAAGGTAAGCTCAGCCAACCAAAGGTTTACATACGTCACTTCACAGTTGCAAGCAATAGGTAAGATTCAGCCTCTGTTTATAATGACTGACTGAATATCTGGCTGTGTAAGAGTTGAGCAGATAACAATGTAGAAAACATTCTGGTGTCAGAAGAAACTTAATGTATCATCCAGATTTACCAGAATGTAGAAAAAGCTCTAATGTAGTGCTGATAGCAGAAATAATTCACTGAACATGCACAATATGGAGCCACCATCCAAGTCAACGAAGGACTTTGTTGTCCTTTGCAGTCTTTTGTCAGTTAGTATTCTGGTTGTTTTATAGTCAACATAAGACTTTTCTGTAGCCATGATATGGTACAATGAAAACAAGACAATTTTTTTTTTGGTAACAAGATCTTAGTCCAGTTATTACTAGATACACCGTACACGGTGATAAACCACATATTTCAGATATATAGTGCATTACAGAACTTACACATATATGTCATCACGTTCCATTATACTACTCAAGTTTTCATCCATAGCAAATATCCTGTGAAACCTATGGTTGTAAATATCTGTGACTACCATCTGAAGATAGAGGAAAAACAAAATTAAGTAAATTAGCCTAGGAAGTGTAATATTCAGGGGAAACGTGTATACAGGCATCACACGTACCTTTTCGGGGGGAACATCTGAAAGTAATGAAAGAGCTGTACAAAGGTCCATAATGTTTCCAATCTTTGGAACAACTACTTTATACTGAAATAATAAAAATACATATGTATGTCAGATATGCAGGATACAGGAAATGGTACTGGCTATAACGGTTTTGCTTATTTAAATACACCTTTAATATATCAAAACCTTCAGTTATATAAATCTCTTCTTTAATGGAAAATAACTAATCTGTTTATAGTGTGCCTCTTAATACTGCATGACTCGCTAGAGAGAACTGACTTCAGATATCAAAAAGTGAAATATCCTTGCTGTTATTCCCAACTCTGTTCCCACCCTTTCATTGCGTTTTGCATTGTAATATGTACATTAAAAATTCAACAAGGAACATGAGGCAGTGGAAGGTATGCATATTTGGGAACTAGAGTGCAGAGTTTGCACTACTGAGATGTAAGCTACCAACTTTTCACCATCAACCAAAAATTAAAATATCAGTTTTGGGTACAGCAGGTTTTAAAACAACATAAGGGCTCCATAACACCGTAATTCGCAATAGGGTGAAGAGCTTGGAGAAGAGAGGAGAAGTGAACAATCTAGGCCAAAATAGCACCCTTGGAAAAATTCTCCAATTCAGCTCAGTTTCTAGTACAGCTATGTTGTCCTAGATTGTTCACTTCTCCTGCCTTCTCCAAACTCTTCACCCTTTGTAGAGTAAGTAGTAAAGGATGGATAAAAATAAAAACCCAGCAACTCTGGCTAAAGTGCTAGTGTGACAGTTCCCTGAACACATACACATACTTATAGTTCCTTAACCACTTCAAGACCAGGTGTTTAGACCCCCTTCCTGGCCAGGCCATTTTTCAGTGTTCAGAGAATTAAATGCTTGTTTATGTCTATGTCTAGGGTAAAAAACAAAATAATTACTCAGTTTAAGCTCCAAGCAGGCTTCTTCTTAGAAGCAGCGGCCCAAGGTCCACTAAATCATCATGCGGAGGGAACAGACTGGAGGGAGCACCCTAACAACTGGCCGGCTCAAAACTTTGGGTGAGTATATCTTTGTTATTTTAGCCCCACTGCAAGGGTTAATAAAAATAAACTCCTGGTGTTCTGCTTAAAAGCTGAATTCTAGGCAAGTGGCTAAACACAGTTTACTTGACCTTGTTTTACCTGGCCTAGTTTCTAATTCTGTGCAACCAATTATTTTGTGAGCCACGCACTGCTGCCATTCACCAAAAAAGTCAGCTCATCGGCCTCCTCTTTACTAGCAGCACAGCTTGATCACGAACGCTGGTCAAGAACATACCCCTAGTTCGATGAATAGACAAGGAAGGAGCAGCACACTATTGAGATCTCACACTGCACTATCATCCTATAAGCTTGTTTAGTGTTGGGAAAAGTGAATGCAGCAGAGTCTAACTAGGTCTTAGTGCTGCCCCTACATCTTCAGTGCTACTATGCAGGAGATTACAGGAGGTGGACATCAAGACAAATTTAGGTAATTACACTAGCTGTTTTAAAAATGCATTTCATTATTTACTAACAGTAGCAATGCATAAATGGCACCGCACGGTTCATGAATCTGCCTTGGTACCGTGTTTCCCCGAAAATAAGACAGTGTCTTATATTTTTTTTTCTACGAAAAAAGACACTAGGTGTTATTTTCGGGGGATGTCAATGAAATCCCTGAAGATAGTGCTAGGTCTTACTTTCGGGGTAGGTTTTACTTTCGGGGAAACACGGTACTTTAAACTTCCTAAATTCTTTGCAAAGTGCTCAATGCAGTAGAGTTTAGGAATATACAACAAGCACCACTGGAATAAACTGCTGCTGAAGCAGTGCTCTGAGTCACATGGCTGCGGTCATAACCAGTCACCACGATCAGTGATAGATTGTGACAGCCAATGATGTATAATCAGCTCTGTCTCTGCCTCACAGAGAGAGCTCTGTTACAAAAGTGATACAAAGTGTCCCACAGTGTCCTAAAGCTATAGTTAAAAAATATATAATCATTTTTGTAAATGAACCCCTTCAGTGCTGATCACAGTTTAATTGCTGTGATCTCTCTGACCAGTACAATAGTACGTAATTAAAAAAAAAGAAAAATATATTTTGTGTCATGGCACGCTATTATTTTACGGAAGAGGCTTAACGCCATTCTCATGTGTGTGTGCCGGTGTGACACCGATCCTGTATCAGACAGTGACACTCTAACGGTGTCAGTAAGAACGGTGTAAGTAAGAACGGTGTAGAGCCTCTTAAGTGAGTGATCTAATGATAGTGCTACCAGCCAACCACTATCTAAAAGGAGACGCTTAGGCCCCTTTTCACTAGAGAGGACCGATTGCGTCCAACTATCAGTTTTCCAGGCAGACCAGATCGGATGCCCAATGTAAGTCTATGGGAAGCCATGTGTTAACATATGGGCATCCGTTTATACCTGGTTACCCCTGACTTCGGTCAGGTCCGGAAAAACAAACTGATTAGCGATCCGCAGGACCGGATCGTGCCGGATCAGGGGTAATCTGATGTAAACAGACATGTCCATTTACATTCGATTCCCCCATAGACAGACATGGGGTCCGTTTACATGCGATTCCCCATACACAAATATGGGGTCTGGTAATTGCAGTTTTTTTCCTCCACCGCTGTGACACCCGCTCTGTACTGCTGCAATTAGGAGAGGATCTGTGCACAGATCCTCTCCTGATCAGCCCGTGTGAAAGGCGCCTAGGAATGCCTAACAATCTGTGAAGAAAATTGAATACCCCCAAACTTAACTGCCCCTGAAATATCTCCATTTACAGCAGCTCCTGGCATCACAACCAGAGTTTCCAGATTCACTTCACAGAAAAACCCTTGGTACCTCACAGAAATTAAAATGTTTGGGCACTGACCACAATAATTGGTATTGTGAAAAAAGAAAAAAAAAACAACATACCGTCATACTGGCACAAGCACCCCATCCTGGCTTCCCCTCTTTTTCCAGGGATTATGAAGATGGAAAGATATTTTCAACTGCTGCACAATATCCATTTTAATGATAATGCTCAGTGCCTCCCAAGCAAAACCCTTTGTATGACAGGCTATACAAATTAAGGCCCCTGAATAAACATCTGTCTGAATATTTTGCAGAAAGTTATACCCCTTACAGAAACATCTGCATAGATGAATCTCTGATGAAATTTAAGGGAAGACTGGTGTTCAAGCACTATATTGCATCCAAGCAGTCATGCTATGGGATACAATTCAATAAATTGTTTGAATGCACTACTGGTTGCACCTGGGCATTTCAAATTTACGAAGATAGCACCATAAATTGCAAAATTGCTAAACAAAGGCTATCATTTATAGCGTGACAATTATTACAGCAGTATAAATTTGTTTAAAAGTTGACTTTGTTTTGAAACCCTAGCCTGTGGCACAGTGTGAAAAGTCGCACAGGCTTCCCCCAGAAGCTGACATACGGCAAAAACCGTAGGGGCACAACAACTGCTTTGAGCCAGCATAAGGTGCAGGCACTGTACTGCCCTGCTTTCCACAATGCATAATAAGGGAACAGTGCCAGTATCTGTCAGGAAGAAGGATGCACTATTCCTAATGCCAAAGTGCATTGTAGAATACAGCAAATTTATGAGGGGTATAGATTTAGCTGGCCAGTGCCTACAACCATATCTAGTTCATGCAAAGAGCAAAAGCTGGCACAAAAAAAATTGCCATTTATCTAACAAAAAAATGGCAGTTTAGAATTAATATGTTCGTTACAAAAAAAGCAGGCAAAAGGGAAGTCATACTCTTTTCTGGAATTGATACTGAAAATGTTATCAGATATTTTGTTTAACCAGCCCACTAATCCCCTCCACCTTTCAGTCTGAGGGTGTCCAAAGATTTTGGGGCAGGCACCTTCCCTGTAGGATCCCCTCTACAGCTTGAAAAAAAAAAATCTCCCCAGGAAAAGGTGCAGAATCTGTTATAAAAATGAGTTAGGAGGGACTCTAGCTACTATTGCCCTTCCTAACCTTCTCTACCAGGCCTTTGTATTACAGATTGCTTCAAAATCTTTCATACAGGGCTAAGCTATTGTAGGGCTGCAACCAACTAATCGATGAGAATAGTTGTCAACTATTCTCATTATCGATTAGTTGGTTGGATCCCCCATCTCTCTCCTCTACACTGGGAGGGAACAGCAAGCAGTGTGCAATAGCCAGCCTGCTATTGGCTATTGCAAATTGAAATGGCCAATAGCAGGATGGCTATTGCACCAGCCCACTACCTGCTGTATTCAGCTGCCGTCTGTGCTTACAATACAATTACTGAAAAAAAGAAAATGTATGTATGTATGTATAATGATAGATAGATAGATAGATATTTATTTAGGGGAAAAAAGTCATTTTCAGTTTCGGCCTAACAAATTCTGCTGCTGGAGGTGCGTTGCAGTGCCATTTATTTCAATGGCACTCCAAACGCTCCTCACACCCTCAGTGTGATCGCCCGCACTGGAACACATATTACCGAGATGCCGTGTGTTCCAGTGCAGTCCGATTGCAAAAAATTGGGCATGCAGTTTAATTCTGAAGTAAACTTTATGTTTGTAACACTGCATTTGTGTATTTTATTTTAGATTAAGGATGGTATTTAATTTTTTTATTCCAAGTGAAAAAATAAATCGGCCAACTAATTGATTAAAATAATCATTAGTTGTAGCTCTAAACTATTGATTTACATTACTCTGTATATGTTCTTGATTTATTTGTGGTTATTCTGCAATTCCTAATGACTATGTGTGTTCTGACTTTTTGGCTTATTATATCGACTACCACGACTTCTGGATCTCTGGACCTTGGCCTGTCCCTGTTTATGGTAAGCCAAGCCCCTCTAAAACCACGATGCAGTGACTACGTAAAATAACTCAAAATACCCCATTTGAAATACCCTGGATTGTCTACTTTTGCAAATGGTATGCCAACATGGGGGTAATTTTCCTTCCTAGGCTGCCATACTGTCTCATAGTTGACAGACTCAAGACTCAGAAAACAAATGTAAAATGTCCATGTAAATTGGCAAGCACCATATTTAGGCCTGTAACTACCTGAAATCCCACAAAACCTGTTCATGAATGAATTTCATTACTTTTTAGCACATTGCAGAACTTAAATATGGGTATTTTATGGCAGTAAAAGAACATAAGGATTATGATATTCACAATTAAATATGTGTGCGTTTAAAAAAAATATATATATATTGTAATATCTCACTTTACTTAATGTCATTCAAATTAAATATATACATTTAATGTCAAAGGAAAGCCCTAGTTTTCCTCAAAAAAATTATGTGAGTGCACTTAATGTGAAAGAGGTAAATTGAGGTTGAACAAACATATACCATATTTGCTGGCGTATAAGACGACTCGGCGCATAAGACGACCCCCTACTTTTTGTGGTAAAATATAAGTTTTGGGCTATACTCGTCATATAAGACGAGTATAGCCCAAAATAATGTTTAAATGCACTTACTAAACCTCCATGGCGGTATTCCCGAGTGTGGCTCGGGGTTAATTTTCAGTACCATAAGTGGTAACCCCGAGCCACACTCGGGATTACAGTCTCTTTCCTTGTCCACGATCCCCGCAGCGTCCTCCATCTTCCGTCCTTCAGCTACATACAGTATACAGCGCTGAGCCAATTACGGCAGGCTTTGTATTCATTAATACAAAGCCTGCGTGATTGGCTCAGCGCGGTATACTGTATGTAGCCGAAGCTACATACAATATACCGAAGTATACCCGGCGTATAAGACGACCCCCAATTTTCGGGCAGTGTTTTTGGTCTAAAAACCCGTCTCATACGCCGCCATATACGGTATCTTAAATTCTAGGGTTTGTATATGTTCAGAAGTTGAATATTTGGCTGCGGTCTAAAGTGGTTATTGTTAAGTTAAAATGTGTTCAAAATGCATCAAAGCATGCTACCGCTC